CTAGTGGCTGGCTACTCTGCTTCTCTGATCTTTCAGCTTTCACCCTGATATCTGACCCCAGGTTTTTATTATTAAGACCAATTATTATTTGCACTGCACACCAACAATGGACACTTGCAAGAAATTAAATTAATCTTATGGATACATTTGAATCTTTCTCTATTCCCTCCCTCTATTCTTCCTTAATTTGGTGTTGATTGGTGCCATGTGTGTTTTGTATGCTTTCTCTACTTATGAACATTAGTAACAGTGCAGGTTTATATACCTCAAACTTTAAGTAGAATCATAATGGTAATGACACGTCAATTTGTAGCTTATACTTGTACAAACTGTTTTTGAGATTTGTATAAATGTCGGTCTTGTTTATTGTTACTGTTTTGTAGTGTTCCATTGAATCAGCCAATTAATTAACCATTCTTTTGAGGGACCTTGTCATTCTTTTCCATTTTAGGCTGGTATCATTGCTGTCCAATGTATTTTGACAGGTCCTGTACGCATAGATAGGAGCCATTCTCTGGAGTATATGTCCAGAGAGTATTTGCTCCATAAGTCTTTGCTTTCGTCACGGCCCTGCCTAGCTGACTGACTTTCACTGACATCAGCAGTATTTGAGAATCTCTGCTGCTCACCACCACTGACTAGTGTGGGCTTTTAAAACCTTTCCAATCAGGTAAGTTGAGAAACAGTGTCTCTTTGTTGTTTTAATTGGCATTTCCCTGGTTATCCACAAGACTGAACATCTTTTCCCTATTAACTATTCACTTTTCATCTTCTGGGAATTACCATGTCATATCTGGTTCGTTTTATATTGTGTTATTACATTACATCATTTGTTTTTGTTTTGCTGATTAGTAGGAATTAAGTGTTCTAAGGAATGAATACTAATGCTGTGTCTCTCTGTCATACATACCTTCCCATCCCAGGCCTTGCCTTTGACTTATTTATTTGTTTAAGTTCTTGCTTGTTCTCAGGGTGGTCAGGGTCACTTATCTTTTCATTCATAATTTGAGCTTTAAATGCCTGTTTAACAAACGCTTCTGATGCTAAAAACAAAACATAAAACCAAAACCTCTGGCCAGGCATGGTGCATGCCTGCAATCCCAGAATCCCTGAGGCTGAAGCTGGATGATCATGAGTTCTAGGATAGCCTGGACTCACAGCAAATTCGATGAGTGCCTGAATTTAATATAAAGAAGGACCTGGTCTCAAAAAGGAGAAAAACAATGGATAGAAAAGGGGAAAGGAGAGCTTTCCCAAGATCAAGCTCAAAGAAATCTACACACCAACCTAAAATGTTCTAACTCAAGTCGAATTTTTATCAATTTACTCATTGTCTGTGACATTTTGAAGTGTTTAGTCGATTGTTCTAGCACCTTTGACTGCACAGTCTACCTCTTCCCAAGGACATGAGTTCCCCCAGTGTACCCCCCAGCTGTGTCCTCTCCTTACCCTCAGGAACAATACCACATTGTCATGCTGACGGCTATCTCAGAGGACTCCTATCTCACTCTTGCAACATGTGCGTCTCGACAGATTATCTACATACTGCAAGATAGGCCTTCTGTGGACGCACACACGTGCCACCGTGACCATTTGAGTCTTGTTGCAGGGAATGTGCAAAGGTCAAGTTAGAACGCCATAAAAACACAGCCACTTTATCCGGAGCATAATGTATTCTTCAGTTTATTTAAAGGCTTTCTCAGTGTTTTTCAATAAAGATTTATGCCACTCTCCATAAAGGTCTTGGATTTTTTTTTTCAAAGATTTATTCTGCATTCCTAATGATTTTTGTTCTACTGTAAGTAGTATCTTTTGTTCAGTTAATATATGTCTTTGGCTGCTGGTGAAAGAAGGAAAAATTAATTGTTGTGCTTTTCACTTCTCCTGTCTTCTTCCTGATTATGAATTTCCTTGCAATTTTCCTATGCCCAACAACATTGTCTTTTATCTTCTATTCTTATTTTGCTATGCTAGCTGGGATTGGATAAAATGAATGTTTAATAGAAAAGTTGGTAGCCGGAAAACCGCCTCTGTCTGAGACTATAAAGAGAATATTTAAGTTAACCCATATTTCTTATCTGTGCTTTGCCAATTGGCTTGGTACCTTTTCTCTGCATCTGCAGATAACTCCTGACTCTACTCTTCTCAGCATTCTAAGTTTGGCTCTCTTGCCTAACCTTATTCTGTTCAGCTACTGACTATTCAGCTTGCCTAATTAACCACTCACAGTGACAAATCTTTACAGTATACACAGGGATTATTCCACAGAATTTACCCTTTTTTGTCTAATTAAAAAGGAGGGTTTTAACTTTAACATAGTAAAATTACATACAACAAAAGCAGTTATCAAGTAAGAATTACAGTTACAGTATCTAGTCAATTTGTATTTGGTAAAATAAGAGAAAAACATTTTATTATCTGTTTTATCTTTGTGAGTCTAAATTTTTATACCTAAGTTACCTTTTATTGTAACTAAGGAACATTTACAAAAAAAAGTGACTGACAAACTTTGCCAAGACAAGGTAGACAGTCCTTCAAAGTTTCTGCTTCACTGGACTGTCTGTCAGACATTCTTGTCCTGCAGGATGAAGATGGATGATCCAATGTTATAGAGGAACCTTGGGTAACTGTATAGGCAGCTGCTTCTGTCATTTCTTAGTTTTGGATGTTGTTTTGTACTTCCTGTTTATTCAGGTAATATTACATCCTTCTCAAGTCTCTAATGGAGTTGAAGACTAGATAGTTATAGCTTTCCTTGTTACCAATTTCAGAAAAGAAACACACAAAAAATTGTAAAATGTATAAGGTTGAGAGACATAAAAAGATAGTTTTGGGTTGGTAATACAAGTTAGGATAGAAAATAAATTAGGTACAGTACTTTGGACTCACCAAGATAGGATAGATAATGGAATGTTTTTGCTGAATTAGTCAAATGCAAATGGACTGGACACTGTTAATGTAATTATTATGTGTATATATTTGTATATAGTTATTGTACTTATCTATACAGTTTTACTATATTAGTTAAAGTCTTCCTTGTTTTTTAGAGAAAAATGGAGAAATGTGTGATATTTTGATTGTATTCTGACAAATCAAGGTTGCTTGGAGTCAGAGGGTAGAGCTAGCCACTAACTGATCAAAATTAAGCACAGAGTTTTTAGAGGATGGTAGATATATAGGGGAAGAAGTAGAAATGTGGAGCAAAGAGGGATCTCAGCCTTTTTGGAGGAAGGAACAGAGAAGGGATGAAAGAGCTGGTGGTTTCTCTACATCTCTGATCCTTCAGGTTCTTACCCCAATACATGACTCTTGAATTTTTATTGATAAAGAATAATTAAATTAATACTTCACCTGAGTTTTACAGTTTTATGGAACAATTTAAGAAGATGTAACTGGGTTATGGTTTGGTTAGATTTGGATCTCCTCTCCCTTCACCACATCCTACATTCTATAAAACATTTAAAATATGATTGCATGAGTGATTTTGTGCTTTACAGTAACCATCCTGGCAACTGAGGAGAAAATTAAAGGGAGATTTCATAAAATCCACACTGGTTTATGATATTCCACTAACCTCCTATGTCTTTTCAGTGAAATTTAGAGCATGCTAAGGAAGTAGCATATTAATATTAAAAATAAATGTAACTAAAATGGTCAATAGAAAAAAAAAAAAAAAAAAAAAAAAAAAAAGAATATTTAAGAATTTTGGGAAAGGCTAAGTGTTACCAAATACCACGAGGTTTGCTTTCGCCTGATTCAGAATGTATGGGGAGTTTGTTTTGAGCACAATAGGCGTTTCTAGTCATCTCGAAAATCACTATACATCACTTATTATTTCCATTTCCCAGCGTGCCTATGGCTGGACGGCTGCTCACAAAGGACAAGTCGAAACTAATATAGATCTTATTAATTTTGGGCACAGTTGGCCAATTTCATATTATTCACAAATGTCACACTGAACAGAACAAATAAATGCACACACGGTCATCAAATGCAGCAGACTGGAGCAAGAAATCCAGACGCAAAGGGGAAAGTGCAATTCTAAAACTATTCTGCATTCAGGTCCTAGACTGGTTCCCTTTGGGGTCCTTACATTTTGTCTGCAAAATTAAAAGGGGGGACTCAGCAGCGAGGAGAGGTTGTTTGTGAGTAGCAGTAAGAAATCAGGGTTGGGTGCTGGAGTGGATGGAGAGCTGGGGAGGTTTTCACTTTTAGTGCCTTGAGCTAATAAAATGCCAAGAAGGCTCTTATCACAGTGACTACCCAGCTCAAGGAAACTATCATTGCTTTGTTAGAACTAGTGGCACCTTCTACAATATGCGCCCCCCCACCCCAGAACATTTTTGTTGTGGTTTCCCTACAAAAAGAAGCAAAACTGTTTAAAGCCCCGCCCCAATGCATTCTATTCAAAGGGTACATTACAATTTAAAACATTAAAAAAAAAATCTTCACTTTAATAGGGAGTTTCGAGTATGTTTTAAAGACACTCCATTAAAGTAAGTAGAAGACTAAAGCAAAATTTTAAACCAAGTTTTTACTTTATCAGCGTAATTGACTGCGGGGGGGTCTCTTTAAAGACTTCCGCCTTGTGTGTTCCACCGAGTCTTAGTAAGTGGCACTAAGCACCTCCTACGGATACCTGTAACAGAAAAACAATTGTTTTGACACCATGGTGTAAATAACCCATTTTACGATGGTATTTTCCAGGTTCTCATTTGTTGAATGGACAAGTTAGGATTTGTGGAGCTGGAGGAAGGAGCTGATGAACTTCATGACAGGCCTGGAGTGCTTCAATAGGGTCCTTTCCATTACACTGATTGCTAGTTATTGACAAAGGAACTCATAAGGACTCTGTTCCCAGGCCTCCCTGAGCTGAATGGAGTACCGGGCTGCCAAACTGCAGATATTTGGCCCAGGAGCTCTCGCCGCTTTAAGGCCCTGGGCCCGCCCACCAGAAGGCCCGACCGCGCGAGCTCTGCCGGGAGTTGTAGTTCCAGGCCGTAGCACCTCATGACTCGTCTCTCCCCCACCCCCCTTTCACTGCCGCCCAGCAGACCACAGACTCTGAAACCGCTGCAGATTGAGCACTGATCACTTCAAGGTATAAACTGAGAGAAATTTCTCTAATCGGAGGATCTGGGCTCCGCGGATGATGCTTTGAAAGAGTTTGGAGGGAGAGCAAGCGATGCGCATGCGCCTGGGTGCCTTTGAGGGGCCGCAGCTCTGCTTGTGAGTCTCCCAGAGTTGTGGTGCAGGGGCCTTAGGCCCTGTGGTACAAGTTTGTGATAATATGATTAGTAGGTCGCGAAGTTAACCGACAAAGGCAGACGGTGGTCAGGAATTTTTCTTGCACCCCATCCTGACTTCCAGGACAGCCCCACCTTCTCTCTTCTCCCAATTTGCAGAATTGCAGTTTTCCCCATACCCCACCCGTTCATCTCTCCGTGGGAAGGCTTTCCCTGCAGTTGTGAAATCCACTAGAGCTCCTCAGCCAAGGCCTTTTAGCCTGCCTGGAATTCAAACTGCCCCTTCTTGCCAGCTCTAGGTCATTCCAGGCAGCAAAAGGCTGCAGGCACAGGCTCTACAGGAGGTGCTTGCTACTGTCAGATCTCCAGATTCGTGATTACCCTGCCTCCTCCGGCAAACTGGAACCAGCCGGGTAGATTAGATACATAAATACATGATAGATACGTAGATGCATAGATTAGACGTCCTTAATTCTTAAAGGGCCTTTCATAGCTTCCTGTGCTCATTTGAGGTGGACAGGTGAGAATCTACGACTGTATTCAGGGGCAGAACCCTCCTCGAACTGAAAGCTACAGGAGTTCTAAATTTGCTTTTCCATCATGTCCACATAGACAGAAGTAAAGGTGACCAGCTGTACCTGATGTTAGCTGCCTTTCTGAATGGCCTGTCTAGACCACAGCCACCCTTAAAATTATTGAGCAATTGCCCTTTGGTGAGTGACTCCTTCCAGCAAACACAGAGGATTTTGCCTAGAGAGATGCTTAAGATTGAGCAAATACATAGTGCCAGAGGGTGGAAAGATAATCATCAGATTTTTAACTAAGGGAGTAACACCTCGCTGCAAACCAAGTTATGCTCTCAAGTGTCCTTTATTTCCCAAAGGGAAAAGTGAGCCCCATCTTGTTTGCTCTTTTCCATTCTTCAGTGGCTGTTCCTTCTTCCTGGTATCAGCAATGCTAATATAAATGTCAAATGGGCATCTAAGTGGTGAAATGGCCTGGGCCAGTAGCCCATACCTTTAATCTCAGCACTGGGGAGGCAGGCAAATAGATCTCCGAGTTCCAAGTTGGCTTGGTCTGTAAATGAGTTCCAGGTCAGCCAGGGCTGACAGGGAGAAGCTGTCTCAAACAGCAACGAAATGAAGTGCAGGAATTCTGTAGCTGTCCCTTCAGGTTGCACATAGTGTGTGTCGGGAAGTAGGCAGATGAAAACAGAGGCATAGATTATGCAAAATTGGGGGACAAGGAGTACCGAGCTGCCTGGAGGGGGTCTCAGAAATCTGTGTGTGAAGCAGTATTTGCTATGCGGGAACTTCTGCTGAGCTTGGAATTGTGCCTTCTTTTATCAGCAGAAAAGAAAGGTGTCCCCCACCTCAAAGCCCCACATGAGCTCTGCCTGAGAGAAATGGGGGCTGATTACTTAGTCTGCCAGCATGGGCACACAATGCTCCCTTCTCCCCGATGGTCACCTGTGGAAACCGCACTGCGCAGAGACCCTGACTTTCTGGAAACATCCGTGGAACGCTCTGTGAAAACGCCTTTCGAGTACACGGCACATTCTTTTGAACCTCTTCTGCACTGGAACATCTTGTTCCTTCAGGGATTGATACTTGGAAACAGCCAGAAGTCATTTGGATGCACGTTTGGAAGACAAGGAAAACTATCATGCTACAGAATCGCTGCTGGTGAAATCTGAGAGATGCTTTGGGGTGTGAACGAAAGTCAGGGGTTCTCACCTTGGAGCGTGGAGATTCTGAGTATAACTTTTTTGGGGGGTTATGTCTTTAGCTGATGTTATAGCCTCCCAGTGATTCCACAATTCAAAAAAGTCAATGATATAAGGTCCTTTTTCTGTGGGTTGTGGAGAGAAGTCATGGGTCAAGAGAGCAGAGTGCAGGTTGTAGCTTCACCTGTAATTTGATGTGTGGTCACAGTGGTTTCCAGAACTCCCAAAACTTCCATGTCCTCACATGCAAACTGGGGGAGTGAGTTGTGTCTCCAATACTGAGTTACTCTGGGTTTTAGTTAGGTTTCTATTGCTGTGACGGAACACCATGACCAAAAAGCAAGTTGAGAAGGAAAGGGTTTATTTGGCTTATGCTTCCAGATTGTACTCCATCATTGAAGGAAGTCAGGACATGAACTCCAAAAGGGCAGGAATCTGGAGGCAGGAGCTGATGCAGAGGTCATGGAGGAGTGCTGCTTACTGGTTTATTCCTCATGGTTTGTTCAGCCTGCTTTCTTATAGAGTGGAGGACCACCAGCCCAGGGATGACTCCACCCACAATGGGCTGGGCCCTCCCCCATCAATCACTAATTAATAAAATGCTCTACAGGCTTGCCTGCAGCCTGATTTTTTTCTATTCTCTCATACAATACATCCCAACTCCAGCCTTCCTTCCCTCCGCTCCTCCCAGTCCCCTGCCCCCAGATCCACTGCTCCTCCATTTCCTTTCAGAAAAGAGCATGCCTCCCAATGATCTTATGGAGACATCCTCTCAGATGATTTTAGCTTGTGTAGAGTTGACATAAAACTATCCTGCACACTCTTTAATCCCATAAAATCCAAGCAGAGAAGATTCAGGAAACAACAACTTGTTTTTGAAAATCAAACATCTTTTGGCCAAGCAGGTAATTCAGCTTTCCCAGGTGACTCTCTCAAATGTCAGTCTTCATTTGGATGATTTAGGACTAATGTGCCTGATCACAGACATCAGCATCCTGGTATTGGAACTAGGAATCTAGAGACATCAAGCAGGCCTAATCCGAGAGGGAAGGCAGAGAGGCTCAAACAGCAGAGGGACTTGTTCAGAATTGTAGGAGGCACGGAGGTCCTTGTGCTCACAGATAAGCACTAGGAGAACCAGGAAGAGTAGCACATAGGCTTGGTTCCTTCAAGCCAACGAATGCAATACCTGTTATCCGCCCAGAAGGCTGGGAGCAGATGAGTGTTCTAGCCCAGTGACATTTGCATTATCTGTGTGGCTGCATGAGGCCCTCTTCCTAGACCCTTATTCTAAGCTTGTTTTTCTCAGTCAATCTATACAACCTATCTTGATGGCAGGTGTCACATGTAGTCAATCTATAGAACCCTTATGGAAGATGTCACGTGTACTTCACAAAGAATTTTGATGTAGTCATGTCTGATCTTTATTTAGCTTATTTTGTTCCTCAAAGAGATTTATATGTGCTTTATTGTGCACATGGGATTGGGTTCATTATCACCTGAAAAATTTTGACCAAACTGTGCTGTGCTTAAATATGCCTAAAATAAATTACTTGGGGTCAGCTTCCTGATGTTTGAACCGATGACCAGCTATTTGCTATGTTGAACCAAGCTGCCTTCTTGCCTCCCGGGGATTGTCCCTCTGCTGGCCTTGAAGGTCACAGAGATACACACACCCCTCCTGTGCACACATGGTACAAAGGGTTGAGGAATAAGAGGGAGCCTGGAAGGGGCAGCAGAATGCTGCTAGGGGCAGGAAGCATCAGCTGAGGCAAGTACCATAGGAGACCAGAAGCAGGGGTCTGCCTTGAGTGAAGGTTCTGAGGCTGGGGATGTAGCTCACTGCTAGAGAACCTGCCTAGGTAGGAGGATTTGGTCTCCAGAGGTTAATCCGGGGTGGAGTGGAATAAACAGAATTCAGGCAAGAGAACTAGTTGTCTGGGACTGAACCCCACTTAGCAGGAGCCTAATCTAGGACCTAGGGTGCAGAGTAACTTGAGACTAGACCAGAGGCTGTCTTCAGGATATAGCCTGCACTAAAGACTCTGCCATTAGCCATAGAAGACAGGACTCTGGTGACCTTCTGAAGTTGGGGAATAGCTTAGGAGCTACCTGATGGCTGTGGGTTCATTCCCACTCTCTCCCTCCTGAAAGCTTAAACAATTTTTCTAGTGATAAACGTTTGTTGGTATAGATTCCATTGATAAATATGGTTAATTTTTTTAGATTCGTATTTTAGCATGCGATTTTTTAAATAAAATTATTTAGGAAACATTTGTCCATGGTTCCTTAGTTACAGTTAAATAGGAGCAGGTAGTTGTTGGGTACTCTTGCATAGCAGGGCCAGTGTAGGTAGTGACTATTAGAAGAGATCTGGGCATGGTGGCACATGCGTACAATCTGAGCACTTGGAAGGCTGAGAGAGGAGGATTGCCATGAATTCATGTCCATCTTGGGCCACACAGTGAGTTCCATGCCAGCCTGGACTACGGAGTAAGATCTGATCTCAACAAGCTAAATCTCAAAGAAAAGCGTATGAAAGTTTTCATCATAATAAATGGCAAATGTTTGAGGAAATAATGTTTAATCTGATTTTTAAAAAGCATTATGCAGGACGGGAGAGATGGTTCAGCAGTCAAGGGCACATGCTGCTCTTGCAGATGACCCAGTTGGTATACCACATGGTGGTTTGCAACTGTCTTTAACTGCAGTTTCTGGGATCCCAAACCCTCTTCTGGCTTCTGAGGGCACCAGGCACACAGAGTGCACATACACACATGTAGGCAAATGATCATACACATAAAATAAAAGAAACTATAAAGTAGTATGTAAGCATTATGCACAGTCTTATGTTTTTAAGGTAGCGACCTAAAATGTGCGCCTTGGTTCTCATTCATATTCCTCTATCTACATAGATTCTCTTTAGTAGGTAATTGTCCTGAAAACAGAGCGACTATCAATACATTTTTCAGCCTTTTTCATTATCAACCATTGTGTTTGGAGGCATAAAAGCACTCATTATCATGATACAGTCTTTTTTCGTATGTGTCTTTTGTTTTTTAGTCTCTGAAAACTAGTGGACACCACCCAATCCTGGGCTCTGTTTCCGTGTCAAGGTCTGCGGCAGTGGACCTAGATGAACAGTAACTTTTGGTGTTTCAGGTCTGCTCAGGTGAAATGTGTACCTATGCTCTTTGTTCCTCCTTCTCCCCTCTTCCCCCTTCCCTCCTCCTTTCCTTCTTTTTCCATTCCTTGTCTGTGAGAGGAGGGAGAGAGGAGAAAAGTACAGAATGATGCTCTTCAATCTTAAGGAGCATACAAACTTTGAGATAAAGGTTTCCCACTTAAGGAAGCAAATGGCTGAGTGCTTAGTAAGTTGCTAAAAACTAAAACTCCCAAGGCAAGGAAGCAAAAGAGGTGGGGGTGGGGTGGGAAGGCAGTCCCTGATTTTCATGCTCCATAATGAGAGGGAATTTCCGCTCTCCTGAAAGGCAGAAGCATGGAGCCTCTCCCACTAAGGGTGGAAGCCTGACCAGTGACCTTGACCCTACCCTTCCTTTCTCTGTTACTTATGGAGTCTCCTGGCCATAGGTCGCTGGCATTGTTTCTGCTCCATAATGAAAGACCACGCAGCTTTTGTTTTATGTAGGGAAGCCAGAGGTTTTGCAGGATAATCAAAGATTGAGAAGGGCTTTCAGAAAATCTGTTTGGCTCCAGATCAAGCTGGAGTGTCCAGTTCAGCTTCATCAATAAGTAAAATTGAAATGTTGACCTTTATTGGCCTGCTGTCTGGCTTTACCTCTCAGCAAACTCCAAACTCTGAAAGAGAAAACAGGCTGCTTTGTTGTTGTTGTTTTGTTTTGGCCTCTCCATCCCATCCCAAGCCAGGGAAGAAAATCTTGAGGTGGGTCAGTCTAGAAGGAGTAGCTGGGTCTGGGGTCATCACTAAATGGGAGCCAGCACTGGTTAGTTTTTGTCAACTCCACAGGAGTTGAGGTCATCTGAAAAGGTCAACTGGAAAATACCCCATCAGATTGGCTTGTGGGCAAGCCTCTGGGTTATTTTCTTGATTGACTCTGATGTGGGAGGGTCCAGCCCACTTGGGTGGTGCCACCTCTGGTCTTGAGTTGTATAAGAAAGCAAGCTGAATAAGCCAGGAGGAGCAAGCCAGTAAGAAGTATTCCCCTACAGTCTCTGCTTCAGTTCCTGCTTCTAGGTTCCTTACTTCCCTCAGTGATGGACCATGACCTGGGATGTGAAAGCCAATAAGCCCTTTCCTCCCCCAAGTTGCTTCTGGTCATGGTGTTTATCACAGCAATAGGGAGCAAAGTAGGGCAGAGCCCTGGGGTGTTTCTGTCACAGGACCTGAAGCAGCCACTACTGCTTTAGAGGGCTTAAAAGTACAGTCTCCCATACTCAAAAAGGTCCAGATACCTGTGGTGGTTTGAAAAAAAAAAAATGGCCCCCAAAGGTAGTGTCACTATTAGGAGGTATGAACTTTTTGGAGTAGGTGTGGTCTTATTATAGGAAGTGTGTCATTGGAGGCGGGCTTTGAGGTCTCATATATGCTCAAGATACTGCCCAGTGTCTCAGTCTACTTCCTGTTGCCTGCAAATCAAGATGTAGCAGCTCCTTCTCCAGCCCCATGTCTGCCTATACACCACCATGTCCCACCGTGATGGTAATGGACTGAATCTCTGAACTGTAAGTGCACCACCACAATTAAGTGTTTTCCTTTATAAGAGTTGCCATGGCCATGGCGTCTCTTCACAGCAGTAGAAACCCTAACTAAGACAGTACCCCAGAGCCAGCCTTGAAGAGGAGAAAGGGCTGTCCGGAAGATACCTCTCTCAGTCTGTACAGTGGGTAGTCAGGATAGCCAAAGAGTTGGCTGACATGAGACTCACAAAGCTTCCAGAACTAACTCCTCCTGACGACCTGGGTGTGAGCTGGCTGCCTCTGGTGCCAGCTCTTTTCTCTTTCTGGAATGCCTTCTCTCCATTGTTTTCACCTACAAGGTGAAAGGAGAGGGTCATTGTCCCCGAGGAATGCTTCTGCCCCTGAATTAAATGCTTTTTATCTTTCTAGTAATTCCTATCCATCATTCCAGATTCTTAGACACCTGCTCCCCTGGGAGCCTCTCCATGCATTCCCTCCACATCCTGGTGTATTTGGATGTTCATCTGTCCCCCACCATGGCCTTAGCAGCTTTACAGTTGTGCTGTCAGTGACAAGGCTTAAAGCCCTCCACCAAGGCATCTTCATCTCCAGAGCATCTCTACACTTGCTTTTATTCCAGCTGTGCCCAGCTCTACCATTCAGCCTGCCTCAAAAACTCTTCCTTCCACCTCTTAGTGTTATTTGAAAAGCTTCTACGTGTGTGTGTGTGTGTGTGTGTGTGTGTGTGTGTGTGTGTGTGTGTATGTGTGTGTGTGTCCCCTTCAGAAACCTCCTTGACCTCAGAAAGAATTTATTGCCCCTTTACCCTCCATCTTTAGACTCTGGAAATGTAAACTTTACCTACTTTGACATTTAATACCTTCTATTGAAAGGTTTGTTTATTCATTGATTCCTTGAACTTGAGATTCTTCTACCACAGTCTTTCTTTCCTTCCTTCCTTCCTTTCATTTTACCCTTTAACTTGGAACCTAATAGATACCCAAAAAGCGTTGAATGGATGGATTATATTGTTTCTTTACGCTTATGTCCCTTCTGCCTTTTTTTTTTTATTAAGTCTTTGAGGTTAGGAAACTGGCTTATTGTATCTTATTCCTAATTGCTGGTATAGTACCTGATAATGGCACCAATGCACTCCGCCATGTTTCCAATCTGCTCTATCATTTACAGCTTTGAAACCTCAGGCACTTCCTTATTGTCTTCTCTGTCCTTATCTCTAGGTTGTACGTATCTCATTGTCCAGTCTTCCAGATTTGGCAGTCAGCTCCCTGAGGGCAGGAGCAGGGCTTCATGTCCCTTTTATCCCCCCAAGGGTCAGCTACAGTGTTCAACTTTCTGGGAGTACTAGAAGTTAAACTTTTCTTAGCTAAAACTATACATCATCCAGATCCCTCACTCCAGTGATGAGATGTCCACTCACATGACCTCCACATCCAGCATCTCATCATACCTAGAATTGCTTCTTGCATGCTTAATGGTACTCACTTCCAAATGACAGGAAGACAGACTTGAAAACATCCTATTATTTCATGTTTATGTTGGCTATCGTGTTCTGCGCCAGTAGATATGCAGTACGTATTTTCAAATTAATAAAGTTGATGAAACCCACCAAGGGTAATAAGCCCAAAGCCAGTACAGAGCAGCAGGGAGATGAAAACTGCATCAGCCCAGGAGGAGAGTGGGGAGTCAGCTCAGGGTCTTCTCCAGGCACCAGGAGACATCGAGTCTAAACATATGCCTTTCAACTGCAGAACATCAAGATCCTTCTGGTTCACTCACAGCCACATAGAAAAGAGCAGTCTTTAGATCAGAATCCCTTAACAGTTGTGGAGATGTTCTGTTTGCTTTTTCCCGTGGGGAATCATTCACTCCTCCTTTCTCTCGTTCCTTTTCTCTTTTTTCCCCTTCCTGCCTTCCATTCTGCACATCTTTATTGAGCGTCGACTACACGCTCAGTGCATTCTTCTAAGTGATTCATCAGTTCTCATAACCCTTGTGACAATTCTGAGATGGGGATGTCATATTTTCACTTAAAATATGATGCAACCCCGTATTTGGGAGACTGAGGCAAGAGGAACATGAGCTCAAAGCTAACCTAGGCTATAGAGTGAGAGCTCATATCAAACAAGCAAAACCTAGAAGAGGGAAAAAGTAACAAACCATAGATTTCAGAAATTGCCCAAGGCACAGAACCAATAACTGGGGGACGCATTTGGACCTAGGTCTCACAAATGACAAACTTATTTGTCACTGTTTAACTTCATCACTATAGTGTCTCACCATAAAGATCAATGGTTTTTCTGTGACAGTCTATAAACAGAATGACAACGTGAGCTGCAGGGTCCCTGAAAATGAATACTGACACAGACAAGGTCCTCTATGTCACAGAGGGTCTGAGGATCAGCCATAGCTCCTTGAGAGGTCAAGAGTCACTGGAGTTAAGATCTGAAGGACAGATGGGAGTTTGCTGGATCAGGACAAAAGTCTGATCTAGACAGAAGTACAGAAAGTGGAGAGGCCCAGAGCAGAAGATGGGAAGAGAAAGGACCTGAGTTCATGTCCCCTTCAGGAGCACACCAACAAGGACTTAACTCCTACTTGGCCCTACCTCCTAAAGCTTCCTTCACATCCCAGGAACACCAAGGGCCTATGAGGAACATTTAAGATCTAGCTGTAACATTCTATTTTTGAAGTATTCATTTATTCATGTTTCCAGCTCACATGAAGCAATTGCCTTTGCTTTTGTCCAAAAGTACTAAAGTACAAAGGCAAATGTTGTTGAAGGGAATTCGCATTTTCATGTTAGTTTGAGAGAAGCGGTGCATCTTGACAGCCAAATACCACAGTGAAGTGGCCAGCACTGCATGCCTGCTACTCCACTGAACCCAAGAGCTGCGCAAGTACACTCAGATGCTTCAAGGACCCAACAATCCTAATCATGCTGTCTCATGGGAGGCTTGTGTTGAAAAGGGGCATTGTCGTTGGTCACTTCCACCATATCCACCAAATGTAAATAATTTTATTATGATACCAGTCACAAAATCTGAAGTCAATTTAAAAACATGATTTCATGAGCTGTTCCAAATCCCCCAATTGTATTATGACTAAGGTGGTGGGTCCACAGGGATCTATTACACTATTTCCCTTAAATGTGATTAAGTTATGCATTTTCCATACTCATTTATTTTTAATTAGTAACAGATTGTATGTTCCAAGTAGCTTTAGGTTCCCAACAAAATTGAACAGAAAGTATAGAAGGCTTTTGTAAGTAGCCTTACCCTCCCCCCGCCCCATGCCTCTACCCCCACACACTCAAACCCACCATCCCAAACTATCAACATCCAACACCATGATAGGTTTCTTTTTTGAACTAGGCTTTAAATGTAGGATATACGTGTTTTGTCTGTTTAATAAATATATAGTATTTCACAATCTATCCTGCCTTTGCTATGAATTGTGATGATAGAATGTAAAAGGGGTACTCAGTAGGGTACTCAATACAGTCCTATTGTATGGGTGGTCAAGAAAGGTTTCCCAGAGAAAACCAACAGGTAAACAGATTTGAATGGTAAGTAGGAATTAGCAAAGTAAAGATGTCAGGAGAGTGTTAGACAAATGGCAAGTGCCCAGACTCAGGATGAGAAGGAGCCTGGAATATTTTAGGAGCTCAGCAACTGGAGGATGAAACTCAAGCATCAGGTAGAGATAGAACCTGTGTATGTTATAGGCTGTGTTCAAGAGTTCCTTTTGTATTGACCTAGAGTGATGTGTCACATAGGAAGTGACATAAATAAATTTGGCTTTAAAAGGATGGGCATGACTGCCTGGTGGCAACTTTATGGAGGTTGGAATTAGGGAGACTGGGTAGGAATATATTGGGCTAAACCTGGAAATGATAATAGTGTGGTAAAGTGGTGGTATTTAGAGAAGGAGAAAAATGAGTAGGTCCCATCAGTACTTATGAGACAGGATAACAGAATGTGAATATTGGCCTCATAAACAGAAGAGAGCACTGAGCTGCAAGACTGAATGGAGTATAGCCCATTTGTTGAGCTAAGAGGAGGGCTGGTGACATATAAGGAATTTGCAAGACCTTAAGAGCTAGTTTTTCCATTTCAGGTAATAACTGTGAGTTAGGTACCATTCTATATAATTGGCAGCAGGTTCACCCCACCCAACCAAATTCAGTGAACTTCAAAAGACTGCACTTTCTGCTAGGGATATGGGACCATGGCAGAATGGTCCCCCAGCATGCATGAAGCTTAAGGTTCTACTGCCAGCACTGGAGAAATCCCAAAGGAAGGATTGCCCTTTCTGTCCTCTAATAGGATTTGAAGTGTCCACATTCTTATCGAGGCACAGTGCTGTGGCATATGGTCACCCAGAACTCTTAGTCTTGTTTCTACCTCTTCTCCCACTTACTATTTTTTAATGACTCACTGCAATTCCTACAGCAAGTTTCTTCTTTCTGTTCTCTACCTACTCCATAATAGCAGGTTTAGCAGGTTTCTCCAGGCAGCTTCCCCTCCTCCTCCTCTGGGAACTTAAAGTCCAGTATGTCACTGGACAAATGTGTTCTCTCGTAGTTGACGGTAGGAGTTCACCCTTCTGATCCATTATCCCAAATCCTGCGTGTCATTGAATGTGGTACTTGCATTCCTCTCTGGCTTCACTCACTTTCCTAAGGGGCTGCAGTAATTTATAGGGATCAGTCTCCAAGTTCCCATGCCCCATTTCAAGGCCTGTACCAAGACAGACTGTGGCATTACTTCCATCTGCTCCTCATCCTAGGCTGCCTCTTCTATTTATTTCTCTGAGGTCTCTCCATCATTGGTTATCTTCAATTGAAACCAACAGGGAACTGTTGTTTCCATGTATGATGCCAATTCTATCCATACTTACTTTCTCTTGCCTTTCCCTAGCCTTTCATACGTAGCCATCAAAATATCAGTTGAGTTCATGAATGAGCAGGAAAGCGAAGGATAGCAAAAGATACCTTGTTTTATGAGAGATAAAGTTCTAATTTTTATTCTAGCAAGATAAATTTATAATCTTTAAGTTTTATGAATAAAATTGCTATTAATAGTTTGGAGATAGGCTGTTCACTATAACAGTATATCTGGTTCTCTGTGGCGTCTCTCTTAGTTTGGGTCTCTATTGCTGTGAAGAGACATCATGACCACAGCAACTCTTATAAAGTAAAACATTTAATTGGAGTGGCTCTCTTACAGTTTCAGAGGTTCAGTCCATTATCATCATGGCAGAGAGCATGGTGGCATGCAGGCAGACATGGTGCTGGAATTGTAGCTAAGAGTCCTAATGTTGCAGGAAACAGAAAGTTGACTGATGTACTGGGTGGTTTCCTGAGCATAGGAAATCTCAAAGCCCACCTCCATCCTGACTTACTTCCTCCAACAAGGCTATACCCACTCCAACAAAGCCATACTTCCTAATCATGCCGCTCCTTATGAGATTATGGGAGCCAGTTACATTCAAACTATCACACTAACTGTACATGACACTCTCAAGTGAAGTTTTGCTTCAATATAAATAACATTAAACCAAACCACAGTGAAAAAGTAACATTAAAAATGAAAAGTTAAAATTATTTATCATGTCATGCTGCTGTCACTGATACAGAGAATCAGAGTCCTAGCTCTGGCTGCCTATGTAGTTAGCCAATTTTTTTTTCCTAACCCCTCAGCTCCTCTTCTAAAATTGGATAGAATGGCCATTATTTTAGCCTCCATGGTACCATATTACTATTGCACTGGACATTTTGGTCGTACTTCAGATTTGCAAAATGCATGGCAATCACACTCATTAGTATTTCTGCAAAGCCCTCCTATGAGGTGGTTCAGCAGTATTGAAGCCAAGCATAAAAATAAGTATGCACTTACCAGGAAGATGCTGAGAGGATCCAAATGAAATGCCAATGAGCGATAATGCACACCATTCAAAATGCTAGCTTCCCCAGATGCATAGCAGCAGAACTGTCAAAACCCTCTTCCATCTGATTTGAATCCCCAATCTCAGAAAATAATTATTTTATGAGTTCTTACTTACAATGTTAGGGTTTATGCTACTATTTGAAAACTGCATATTCAGATGTTTAAGTTTAGGAAGGCAATATTTAAAACTCAGCATCTTAAATATACTCTTCCACTTGTGTCCCCTTATGGCAAGGAATCACTCAAGTAAATGGTTTTGGGATGGCCTCAAATTGTCCTGAACTTGCCTTTATTTGTTTATTTTTGTTGTTGTTTTGGTTTCTTTGAGACAGAGCATCACTATATAGCTCTGGCTGTCCTGGAACTCACTCTATAGACCAGGCTGGCCTTGAATGCACAGATCCACCTGCATCTGCCTCCCAAGTGCTGGGATTAAAGGCATGCACCCATATGCCCAGCCAGAACTTGCTCTTTTTTTTGGTTTTTCGAGACAGGGTTTCTCTGTGTAGCTTTGTACCTTTCCTGGAACTTGCTTTGGAGACCAGGCTGGCCTTGAACTCACAGAAATACTCCTGCCTCTGCCTCCCGAGTGCTGGGATTAAAGGCGTGCGCCACCACCGCCTGGCCAGAACTTGCTTTTTAAGATCATATTTTAATTAGCCCAAATTATGCAGCTACTATCAACTATAGATAGACCAGTTCAGTTGAATAGTTTGTTTTAAGGGAAGTGGGAACTCCACTCCATACAAGACTCAAAAGAGGTAAACAGGAATAGATGAAGTGAGATGCTATATATCAGTATGTAGCTTAGGGGTAGAGCACTCAGCATACTCAAGGCCCTTTGAACCTTAGCCATTCAAGAAAGTAAAAGTGAAGATAAATGGGTCTGTTAAGGTCCCTAACTAGTACCCTATAAGAAGAAGAGACGTTGACTCCAGGCACTAGGAAGAAAAACACAGGAGGAGAAAAAGAGTTTCTATGGACACAGCAAGAAGGTGATTGCAAGTCAGGAGATCAGGACTCCCATCCTGTGGACACCTTGCTCTTGGAGCTGGGACCTCCCAAACTGTGAGGAAGTAGATTCTGTTGTTTCAGCTTCCACACCACGGCATTTGTTACGACAGCCCTGGCAAAGAAATGCACCGTGTTTTTGTTTCAAGAGATTCCTCTCGTGGCCTCAGTCTAATGCTTGAACAATACTGCCAGCCTCCATCCATGCTGTAGATAAAAGGAAAAAGAAAATTGGTAAGGAAAAAGGTGAGCACACAGGTTATGGGGAGGGGAGCAACATTATTAGCCCCTCCCTGGCAGAGTTCCATGTAGCTCTACCAACAGATCTGTGTTACAGAGTTCCCCCACTGCATGGGGGTTCTCTAGAGAAAGAAACCCATAGAATGAATATTTATTTAAAAAAGGGGATTTGTTGGCTTGGCTTACACAGTTCAGTCTAGATAGTCCGACATGGCCATCTGCATGCTGGAGAGGCTGAGAACTCACAGCGGTTCAGTCCAGAAAGCTGGAGGCCTCAGCAGTCCCGACCTGGTGCTAAAGGCTTGAAGGATTCCTGCTCTCCAGTCCACATTGGAAGGTCAAAGAAGGCAGGGTCTTACATGAACAGAGTATGTTGGCAGCAACAGGGTCGATGAACTCCCAAATGGTAGATAATTTTGCCCGTGAAATACTAAGTCAAGCAGACAAAATTCAAAAGCTTTTCCCTCGAATCTCCTTATATCCAGGCCACCACCAGAAGGTGCCATCCACAGTTAGAGTGGGCCTCCTCCTTCAGTTAACCTAACCAAGAAAAGTCTCACAGGTGGACTCCGAGGCCTGTCTCTTAGTTGGTCCAGATCCAGTTGGCGACCTATATTAGGCATTACATCTACCCAGCAGCCAGAGCAGTAGAGAGTGATGTGTTTCCTTTTCTTCCTTTTCTTTTTGAGATTGTGTTTTAACTGCAATCTCTCTCCCTTCCTTTTCCTCTCTCTAAACCTTCCCATATACCCTTCCCTAATATCCTTCTAGTTCATGGCTTCTGTTTGCATCAATTGTTATTGAATGCATATTGTGTTTACATATACATATATTCCTAAATACAGCCTGTTGAATCTACATTTGTTTTGTGTTTTCAGGACTGACCATTTGGCACTAGACAGTTGGTGTGCTCTTCCCTTGGGAGGACCACCTCTCCCGATCCCATCTTTACTCAGTTGTCCATAGTTCTTTACCCGGTTGTCTGTAGTTCTTTGTGTGGGGTTGAGGCCTCATGGTCTTTTCCCTGTCCAGCTTGGTATGTTCATGGGTGTCATCCTTGTTCAACTCACAATGGAGCAGTCATGCTGGTGAGACTTTATGGGTATAGCGCCTGATGTTTTTGTATTTATTTATTCCTTTATTTCTTTATTTTTAATTGAGCATATTGTCATGTCAAACACAGACAAATAGTGAAGAGAGTGAATGAAGATTGTGGATGCATCTAACAAGTATATACTATCTCAGATGTTTTCCATAAGAATTATGGAGATACGTGGAGGTGTTTCCACACCACGACAGTTGGTGAATACAATGAAGAGCCGAAGAAGAGCTGGAACTGGGAGTTTGTGTGGAGGTTACCACCCTTCCTGTATAGTGGCCTGTTAGGAAAACCACTCAAGACTCCACATTGTCCTGCTTTCCCACTGGTCTACTTTGGTTAGTTCATTGCACGTTTTTCAGCCTGTGTTTACTTCCCTAGAAAAGAGGGATGATCCGGGCTGGAGATGTCCTTCAGTTGTCAGGGTACAGGCCTAGCATGTTTGATTCTGAGCACTGTGTAAACTAAGCATGGTGGAGATGGAGGCAAGAGGATCAGAAATTCAAGGTCATCTTAGGCTACACAGCAAATTAGAGGCCAGCCTGGGCTACATGAAAGAAACATTGTCATAAAGAAAGTGGTGGGAGGAATTTCAGGGGAGGAAAAGTAAAGGAGGGACTTGAGTAATTGTGATGAGCATGGTAAGATTTGTGAAGGGTGGATTTAGAGTTTTCCCAGGTATACAGAAGGGACTATATTAAAGACTGTTCATCTCAATAAAATCAATAGAATTAAAATTGGGGACTGCAGAGCTGGCTCAGAGGGCTGAGAACACTTTCTCTGCAAGCATGAGGAGCTAGCTTTGAACCCCCAGCACCCACACAAAAATCTGGGCATGACTAAACCGACCAAAACCAAACCCTACTCCTGAGGAGGCAGAGACAGGGAGATCCTGACAGCTAAGAGAAACAGAACCCCAAAGATCTCAATAAAGTGTTACATGTCCCCTTCCTGTGACTTAAGTTTGGAAGTAGATGCTATGGTTTTAATGCCTCCACCAAAACTCAAATTGAAATTTAATACCACTGTGAAGTATTAAGAAAGGGTGGAAATTTAATCTAACTATGGTATTTAGAGGTGGGACCTTTGGGAGGTAATTGAGGTTAAATGAAGCAGCAAGGGTGGAGCCCTAATCCAGTGGGACTGTGGCTTTGTCAAAAAAAAAAAAAAAAACTGAGCAAGGATGCTGTTTTGCCATGAGATGCTATGTGTGCCACTTTGGGACTCCGCAGCATCACCACCTCAAGAAAGATTTCCCCAGGCATTGCTACCTGATCTTGCCTACCAGTTTTCTGAACCATGAGCTTAATAAACCTGAGTGTGTGTGTGTGTGTGTGTGTGTGTGTGTGTGTGTGTGCCAATATTATTAAGTTATAACAACAGAAGAAGTACTAAGACAATGGGCTTGTTCTACATGGTTGCCACACCCACCTTGTTGCCTAAAACAACTGTTGAACATCAATCACCATGATTCTACTGCAACCAGCAGGAAGAAGGAAAGGGAGTAAAAAGGGCTGTCTTGCCTTTGTAAGGATACTTCCTGAAAGCATCACAAAGCATTCCTCCTTACATCCGAAATTCTATCATATAGTCATAGCTAGCAGAGAGATGAAAGTACTTCATTTTCTACAGCGGGTAGCTGAGTATCCAGGAAGGAATTGGGGGAGTGTTGACTCTACCACCATGGAGAAAGGGGTAGATTTCAGAGGCAGACAGCAGCTTCTGTCACATGGACCAGGACCTGAGAAACCTATAAATGACCTATGGAAAAGACCTAGGACCTTATGTAAGGACACAGGATTACAGTAGTGCTGGCTAGGTGACATCTGGTGCAGCACAGAAGCTGTGTTGTCACTTCCCAAAGTGTGGCCCAAGGACTGAAGGGTGGTTAGAAATGCAAAATCAGCCCCACATTCCAGCCCTCTGAATCAGAAGCTGCATTTTAACAAGCATCTCTGGCATAGGCTAGATTGACGATTCCAGAGAAGAGAAAGGTAGAAATTGAAGCAGAGATTGGAAGTGTGGAGCATCAGTGGGAGAGGGCAGACTGAGCCCCATGTGGCTGCGACCTTGCTACAGAAGCCATGCAAAAGTGGACCAGGCAGCTGACTTGAGGAGGAGAAGATGAGGAACAGGAGGAGGGAAAGAAAAACTTGGAAAGAACACAGCCTTGAAAACAAACGTTAAATGAGTATCAGCGAAATTCTGATGCAACTATCCAGTATTAAGAAGCAAGCTGCCTTACTTACCCCTCACAATACCCTTGAGTCATACAGTTGGGATTCACCCTTTGGGTGCTAAAACTGAACTTCAGAACTGTTGACTTGTCAAGATCACATGCTAAGTGCTGCCACAGCTCAAAACAGTACTTTGCAGAGCCCTGGCAGTGCCCCAAACTCTATTCTGTGCATTATCTCAATCCTCACAGTGACTGTGAGGTACACAAAGTAGCTGTTACTTTAATCGTTCAAGTTAGGAGTCCAAAGGCTTGACTCCAACCCAGTGATTTTCTTCCTCAAGTTTTGTTCCCTAGTTCCCTGCCTGACACAGGGTGAGGAGAAAATGTAAGCTATGCCAGGTGGGAATTGAACTGTGTGAGAGGCCGGCCCAGGAACAGGCACACACATGATGGCACTTCCAATGGCAACTGATACTTTTCTTGTTACAAAGTGCTGGTTTTGTTCAAGAAAGTAATATTTATAGAAGTAATTGTTAGTGTGAGGAGTATAGAAGCCAAATGAGGAGAGGACTTTTGAAAACATTATATCAGAAACAGGGAAGGAACTCCACGTAAGGCTGAGGACAGGGGTAGGCGGCCGGCTCTACTTGCTCCATAGAATGAAAGCGCTGGACAAAGCCATTCACATCTGCTTGCCCCACTTCTTAGCCTCAAGGGCCATACTTCACTGGATAATTTACAAGTATTGGATGAGATAAAGTATACAAGATACTAGTCTAATTCTCAGAACTGAACACATTTCCAACAGTTTTATCTCAGAGTAAATCTAATTGTAGATGGGGAAATGCAGTTGGTGGCCGTCTGGGCAGCAGCAAGCACAGGAGGAGATCACCTACATTGACAGTTTTGAGAGCTTCTCAGAGGACAGGCTTCATTGACATAACCTTTAAGGAGAACAAACCCCCCTCCTCTGCACACGGTCTTTACGAACTGATTAAAATAAACTTGACTCCTAATGGTACTTCCTTCCTTACTGATGTGTTCAAGTTATGGGCTTTTAAATTCTTTTCTTTCTCATAAATGTGCTTACTAACGCTGGCTCTAGCAAATGAGCACAAAACAGATAGTCATCACTCTTACCTTTTTAATGCTTATGAAGAGAATGAGATCAAAGGCAGAAAGAAGTCCATTTATGAGACGTTTTGGCCCAGTCTATGAAGGTGACAGATGTTCCACTTCCTAGAACCTTCTTGTTCCACCCACCCCCCAAAAATCTATATTTTCCTTTAGTATATTGATTTCTTGTTACAGAACAAGAATGGCTATTAAACATCTTTGTTTGGTAGCTTGGGGTTACCAGTTGTGAGAGCAAAAATATATCAGTTCTTAAAGGAGAGTTGGTGGGGTGGGGGAAAGGGGCCCAAGAGGATGTAATTTGTATCAGGAATGATTTACAATGGACCTAAGGACCCAGAGACTCAGAAGAGGAAGAGGAAACAGATGAAAAACGCATCCAATCCCAGGGAAACCCTATGATGGATGAGTAAGATTCTCTAACAGATGAGATAGCACTTTCCCCAGTAGCCAGCTGGCTCCTCTCCTCTCTCTTTTTGGCTTATAATGCAGTGGAAATATTCAGTATAAGGACTTGCGGAATATACGAACCAGCTGACACACACTAATAATAAATTGAAGTGTTCTTTTGTTGTTGTTGTTGTTGCTTTGTTTTGATGAGAGGACTTTGATTTCTCTTTAGGGATGGGGCTGGATCTTCATTATCAAAATGTAGCTGAAAATTGAGTGGACTGATGACGAAGAATGTTCTAAACACCATTTCCCCTCAGCAATGCAAATAACATTTGTATAATGTATTTTTGCTTTCAAAGTGTGCTCACCCAAATTGTCTCATTTCATCTTATAAATAACCCAGTGAGATAGGTGTCATTATCGTCATTTCATACTTGAGAAAACTGAGGCTACTGAAAGTTCATTTACAGCAACTTCCAAATGTCTCACACTTCCAATAAGTGTCAACCTGCGGCCACAATTCCCACCCAGGGCTTGACAGTACAAAATAATGCCATTTCCAGTTAAACCATAAGAGCCATGGGTTCAGATGCGTGTTTGCCTGTCTTTGACTTGCTGCCTGTGGTACCTTCTTTGAGATGTGCATCTTTAAAATGGGGTAATAGTAATAATAATAATAATAATAATAATAATAATAATAATAAATATAATGACAGTTTAAAGTTTCGTGGATATGAGGGCTGGGGAAATGGCTCAGTTGGTGCATGCTTGCTCAAGCATGAGAACCTGAATTCAGACCCCCAGCACCCATCTAAAAGACAGCAATGGTGGCACAAATCTGTCAACCCCAATGGTTGGGGATGGGGATGCTCTGGACAGGTAGCTCTCTGAAGCTCATTGGCCAGACAGCCTAGCAGAATCGATGGATTCCAGGTTCAATAAAAGACCCTGACTCAGGGGCCCCTGGCAGTAGATCAAAAGCCATCTCTGGTGCATGAGCAGGCCTTTTGGAGCCCACTTCTATGATAGGACACCTTGAGGCAAGGGGAGGGGCTTGGACCTACCTCTACTAAATGTACCTCCCCATGCGAGGCCTTACCTTCTTGTAGGAGGGAATAGGGGGTGGGTAGGGAGGGGGGAGTTTGGAGAGGCAGGATGAGGGAAGAGGGCGATCTTTGGTATGTAAAATGAATAAAAAAAATTGTTAATTAAAAAAAAAAAAAGATCCTGACTCAAAAATAAAGTGGACCCGGGCGGCGGCGGCGGCGGCGGCGGCGGCGGCGGCGGCGGCGGCGGCGGCGGCGGCAGCAGCGGCGGCACACGCCTTTAATCCCAGCACTCAGGAGGCAGAGCCAGGCGGATCTCTGTGAGTTCAAAGCCAGCCTGGTCTCCAAAGTGAGTTCCAGGAAAGGCGCAAAGCTACTCAGAGAAATCCTGTCTTGAAAAACCAAAATAATAATAATAATACTATTAATAATAATAAAATAAAAATAAAATAAAAATAAAGTGGAAAACAACCAGGGAAGATAGCCATCATCAGTTTCTGGTACACACACACACACACACACACACACACACACACACATACACACACGCGTATACCTTGAAGGACATATACAGACATACACATATATATTCTATAAATTCTATGTATGTACATACACTGAACATGCTTAGAACAGTTTTCATTTGGAAGAGCTGTATAACAATTGGATAAATTGAATTATTTTAGTTATCTATTTTTAAAAGTACTTGTTCTGCCTTAGGTTCTTTACCTCTAAACTCAAGGTGATAGCTGGAATTATCTTGACTCCTCAGGTGGGTACAACAAATGATTCCCTTCCATAGACTACAGAAAACATAGCGACTCCCCAGGATGTCTTTGAATTCCAAAGAGTGCCTTCTATTTCTTAATTAGCTCATGCTCCAGATGTCACCTCTTTCAGATTTATCCTGTTCTGGGACTCTTTTGATGTTTTCCATAGTGTCTCACAGATGTTTAACTCAAAGGAATATCTACACAAATCATACCAAGACATTTGCTTGGACCTGGGGCTGGCAGAGTGTTTACCTGGTATGCACGAATCCCTGAGGTTAATCTTCATCACCACATAACACTGGGCACAGAGACTGATGCATGCCTGTAAACCCAGCACCTGGCAGGTGGAGGCAGAAGTTCAAAAATTCAGGGTCATCCTCAACTCCATAGGCCAGCCTGGACTACATAAAACCCTGTCTGGTAAAAGACAAAACAACAATAAAAACAACAAAGCATATGTTACAACTTTTACTGAGTCTTTGATGGAAAGGAAGACTTACATTATGATGCCCCAATATTAATTTCAGTTCACTATTGATCATCTTACTCTCTACCCCCACAACCAAGTCCAGTTTTTGTTGGCTGGTTACTCTTGCCCTGGGGTGTGGTTAATATGCAGGTGTCATTTCATTGAAGAAAACTGACTTTCCTCTCCCAGCAGCAATCAAATGGCAATAGATCTTCAGTGAGGGATGGGACTGCATGCTGATCCCCTCTTCCATGCTGTGGTTTTGGCTTGGCCTGATCTTATGTAGATCTCATGCACGCTTTCACAATCTGTGAATTCATGTGTACAACTGATCTGTTGTTTCTGGTAAACATTGTTTCCTTAAAGTCACCCACCACCTGTGGCTCTTACAATCTTCCTGTCCCCTCTTCTGCACATATCCCTGAGCCTTCTGGGGAGAGATGTGATATAGACATCCCATTTAGGGCTAAGCATTCTCAAATCTCCTATTCTTTGCATACTGACCAGTTGTGGGTCTCTGTGTTAATTCCCATCTACTGCAAGAAGAAATGTCTCTAAAGAGAGTTGAGAAACTCACTGATCTATAGGTGTAGCAATAAGTCATTAGAAGTCATTTTATTGCTATGTTCTTTTAGCAGAATAATAGTAGTAGGTTTACCCTTAGGGACCATGATCTACCTAGCTACAAGTTCTTGGCCTGATTGATAGTGTCAGGTATGGGTTCCATCTTATGGATCAATAAAAAAAAAAAGTGATTGGTGGCTCCCATAACATTTGTACCACTATTGCACCAGTGGGTATAGCTTGCCAAGTGGATCATTATTGTAACTTGAAGTGTTCATCTTATTTTTTTATTAGTATATATTCATTGTGCATTGCAATGGGCTTCATAAAACAGTTTTGTTACAATAAATATATCCTGTACTTTGAATATACTCACCTCTTGTTAGTATCTATCACCTAGTAGTTCCATTCTATTCCCCAAATAGTCCCCTTATAAAGAGAGAAAGAGATTACAGAAGACATAATATTTGTCTTCATGTATCTGTATACTTAACCTTATTATTTTATTCTTTATAAAATTTTTTTTATAAAATAATATTTTTGCCCATCCATGTTCACATCTTAGGGTATGTCTTCCTGCTAGTTTCCTTAATCTTGCCCTTCTTTTTACTGACTGTCTCCATCCATTCAAGATACTATAACAAAATATCTTAGGGTAAGTAACTTGTGAGCAATAGAAAACTATTGTTAGCAGTTCTAGAGGCTGAGAAGTCCACAAACAAGGCACTGGTTAATGTGCAGTGAGAAGTCTCTGCTTCAGCCATCTGTTCTTTCTCTGAGTTCTCACATGGCAGAAGAGGTGAGTGGGCTTCTCCAGGATTCTTTATAAAGATATGGTTCTTTATAAAGGCAGAGTCAGTGTGACATAATCACCTTCCAGTGTTGCACTAAGGACCAAGTCTCAACACAGTACTTGTTTGCTCTCCTCTCCAATCTTCCACTCTCAGATGGCCCAAGACTCAGAAGCTCTTCTTGTTCCACAATGCCAGCAAATATCCTATTCCCTCTCTAGCCCTCAACAACAGCTTTACATACCTATCCAGAACTGTAAAGACCACCTCTTCAGTCACACAAAGATCTCTCTGAAGATTTGAAATGATCCCTTTTAAAGACTTCTGTAGTCAGACTTTTCTTTTGTGGCCACCAGCTCACAAATAACACAGACACTTATTATTAATTGTGAAAGCTCCATCTTGGCTTAGACTTGTTCCTAACTAGTTGTTATAACTTAAATTAACCCATATTTTTAAAATCTACATTCTTCCATGACACTTGTTACCTCATCTCCATATTGCCCATCCTGTTTCCTCCCCATCTGTCTGGTGACTTTGCCTTTCTTCTTCCAGAGTTCTCTCTCTGCCTGGAAGTCCCACCTATACTCCTCTGCCTATCTATTGGCTGTTCAGCTTTTTATTACACTATTCACAGCAATACATCTTCACACAGTGGACAAATATCCCACAACAGACTTCATGAAATCAACGGCCAAAGATGAAATATATTCTCCCTCCATATTTGTATGTGGGTAGAACCCCATGGGGAGGGTTACTAAACATACATTATCTCTGTTCTTTCTGACTTTATAACCAGGAAAACTTAGGTCCAGAGAAGTTAAAAGTACACACAAGTCATCTAGTTGGGAAAAGATGAGAAATTTTCTTGGTTGCACTAGAAAGACACAATAATATTTACCTTGCGAGGTTGTTAGAATTAAATGAATGCAGGAAAGACAGTAACACAGCACCTGGAACACTGTAAAAAAAAATACCAGCTGTAGTAATAATAACGATTAGCTGTGGTGATAATAGCAATGCCCACCCTCCCCATCATTCCACACAAATCTGACCTCCCTCCAGCCCCATCCTAAGTCCCTGTCCCCACATGCATTATTGAAAAGCACTCTCTTAAAGTAGAAGTCCTGGCATTAGAAATCCCGAAATTAGGGCTGGAGAGGTAGCCCAGTCTTTCAGAGCACTTGTTCTTGCAAAGGACCCAGGTTCAGTTCCCAGCATCCCCGTGGTGGCTCATAAACATCCATAATTCCAGTTCAAGGGCATCTGTTGCCCTCTTCTGAACAGTATAGGCACCAGGCACACATGTGGGGCACAAACATACATTCAAGCCAAACACTCAAGACACATAAGTAAAACAATTTTTTTTTGACAGAAGTCAGTTCTCTCATGCTAGTTATGTAAACTTAGGCAAGATACTCACCTTGTCTTTAGCCACAGTCTCTTCATCATGAAACAGATCAGAAATTTGCATTCAATCGGCTCACATCATTATCATGATTATGCAATGTAGAAATGCAAAGAAGCTCTATGTTTGTTGGTACCTGTGATGATTAGCCGTTTCAACTTGACAGAATCTAGAATCACCTGGGAGAGGGATCTGGGTGTGCCTGTGGGGAGATTATCTTGATTACATTAAATGAGGTGGGAAGACCTCTCCACTGCGAGAGGCACCTTCTGACCAGCAGCATGCATGCATTCATCACTCTCCTCCTCCTCCTCCACCTCTTCCTCCTCCTCCTCCTCTTCCCCCTCCTTTGGTTTTTAGAGACAGGGTTTCTCTGCATAGTCCCGGCTGTCCTGAAACTCACTCTGTAGACCAAGCTGGCCTCTAACACACCTGCTGCTGTGTCATGAGTGCTGGATTAAAGGTGTGTGCCACCACCGCCTGGTCATGGTCCCCACCTCCATACACACCTGCTTCTTATCCGCCCACCCACCACACACACACACACACACACACACACACACACACACACACACACACACACACACACACACCCCTGCTTATCTATGAATGCAATGTGACCAGGTGCCTCCAGTTCCTGCTGCTGAGACTTCCCATCCTGGTAGTCTGCCACCTGGAACTGGGAGCCAGAACCAACCCTGTTCCCTTGAGTTGATTTTGTCGGAGTTTTATGACAGCAACAGGAAAAGAAACTAAGACAGCACTTTATTCCCAACCCCATGTTAAAACTGTTAGTAGATTTTGTTTTTGATATAGGATGTTTGCTAATATGTGCTAAAACGGACAGATTCTCCTCCAGGGTGTAGTATACCAGGCTACCAGTTCTTTGCCTCAATGTTAATGTCGTGAAAGAGTTAAACAATCTTCCAAAGAAACCTAGCAGACCTCAATATGTCCACTCATGCAACACATGCCTCACTTTGAAGGTAATTAATTCAACTTAGCACTGCTCCCTGAAGGTCTTGTCTGAAACAGAGGCGACATGACATGACGGTCTGAAATTGTGAAGTTTGTCAAATTAGATGCTGAAAAGCCCAGGGACCATCAGATGAACCCTCGAGCTCTACTGTTAACAATGCTTATCTCAGAGAGGGAAGGGCGAGGCATATTCCCATCACCTTACCCAGTGACAGAGCCTGGCCAAACCTAGGTATCCTATTTGCACCCGTTGGGGGATCATTGTCCGCATTCAGAGATCAGAGGTAGGTAGAGAGGGGCTTGGACCCCTGCACGAAAAGGTATTTCTTGAAAATCTGTTCCTTGATCCTCCCAAGATCCGGTGGGATGCCAGGAAGGTGGGGAGTCCCTGAAGAGGAAGAATTACCACAGACTCCTTTATACCATCATCGAGGCTGATGTGACTGAGAGCCTCAGACCTCTCCAGATGGCTGGGAGTGTTTCCGCTATGGTGGTTCCTGAGGCAGAGGACGGGCTGTCCCTCCCAGCGCCCGCCCCGCCCGCGCGATGCCCGGTAGTAACCCCGAGGAGCAGGGCGCGCTGCAGCCGAGCTGCCTTCAACCAGCGTGCTCCTTCTGGTTTGCAACCTAGTTGTTAGATCCGGCTTCTCCCGGGCAGAAACTGGCGCGTTAAGTTTGCGCCCACGTGGCTTCTCGCCCGAGTGTGCTCTTCTAGCCTTGCTCTTCGGTGGGGGAGTGATGAAGGAGTTGGGGGTGGGGAGGAGATGGGCAGCCCCCTGCTGTGGGACAGTGGGGAACGGAAAGGCCAGCCATGGCGGGCGGGAGGGATGGGAAGCCTAGGGGATGTCAGTGGCAGGTGATGATTTGTGTAGGAGGTGGTCCTCAGATTGCCCTGCCAGGTCTGTGATCATGCCCAGACAGAAATCAGAAAACGCCCGCAAGGCCCACAGTCTTCATTTCAGAGAGGAGAAGAGAAAAAAATAAAAAGCTCCCGACGCCTAGCAGCGGTCCGCAGCCAGCTCTGCGCAGGCGCGCGGGGTTCCACGTCTGACCTGGAGTTACCCCGCGAGGCAGTCCCAGCCGAACTAGGTGAAAGGTAACTAGCAGGCGCAGCTGGGGCAACAGCCCAGGCATGCGTGCGAAAGGGCCTGTCCTATGCCTTTCCAGACTCAGCAAGTTTCTCTAAGCAAGCACTTCCTTCTGTGGATGAGGCCCGGGCTAATGCAAGGATGCCTGAATGGAGATTTGGAGAATTTTTGCCACCTGGCTGTCTGTAAGGCAAACTAGGACCAGAAATTGTGCAGGGGTGGGGAAAACCAGGTGTGGAGTACCATTTGTGTGTCTACCATGGTGTGGAGAGTATCATGTTTTCTTCAATTTAGAGAGCCCTTGGAGAGAGGTAATGTGGCCTCTCGTTTATGAGCTAGGAAACTGAGTCCCAGAAAGTTCCAGTAACCTGTCTAAGGGAAGGGTAGTTTCCATTAATGGTCCCTGTTTTTAGAGTTCTGCCCCAGAGTAAATAACTGGCACATGTAGTGTGTTCTGCAAGGCCTCCTTTTAGACGCTACTCCATCCATTCTGAGGTAGGACCTGCTACCGTTTGGGTTCTTCGTTTGTTGAGGGCAGAGACACTGCTCACACTTGCTGAATTTGCTGTTTGTTGGAGTGAGCTCATAAAAGAACACCCCAGGCAACTGTGTCTGGCAGGCTGAAGTGACTGCTTGTTTGTGATTTTCTCCCAAACGAGGGCTTTTACATTCACTCAGTAGACATGACTAGCGTCCAGTTTGGAATGTGTCTGTAGCTGAAAAACAGGTGGAAAGCATTGAAGGTGGAGAATACCTTGTTTCTCCTGGAAATTCTGCACTGAGTCTGGTATAGTCTGCTAAGAGTGCTGTGCCACAATTCCACAGTTATTTCCCACTGATCTGGAGCCTGGAAATCCAAGATCAGAGTACTGGCTGGCCCTGAAGCTGACGTCTCGATGTATGCTCAAAGAGCAATGAGAGGAAAAGAGAGGAAGAGGAGAAGGGAGGGGGAGAGGATCCGACTAGTGTCTTTTCTTGTAAGTTCAGAGCAGTTGGAGACATCTGGGGCGTTGGCCCGTCTTCAGGCTTGGTGGAAATCATTACTTTCCTTCCCATCAGAGTTGCCTATGTAGCTAGGTGTGTGTCAGGGACGGGTGGACAGGGACCCTGTCCCACTTTCCTTCTGTCTACCCCTTAGTGCTGGACTTGGACTATTCCTCAGAACTGCGAAGAGCAGGTGTCCCCTCCTGAAGGAGCCTTGGAGGCAGAGGAAAGGAAATACAAGGCAAAGAGAAGTGGGCCAGCCTCCTCCCACTCTCCTTTCTTTCCAAGAATCTGCTCCCTTGAGTGTCTCGTCAGGGAATTGGAATGTCACTGCCTCGTGGCCCCAACACTCTGTTGCTACTCAGGCTGATTAAGACAAAGGCTACAATTGGGCTACTCTTGCCCGAAAGTAACCCTGTCTCCAAGCCTTGCTGAGGTGACCAGGGGAGATGAGGAGGCTGGTAGATGCCTCTGTTGCCATTGGCAAGAAGATGGCTGCTTGGAGACTTAGATCATTACTCTGTTGAGAGTCTCACATGCTGAGAGCTTTGAACTGAGCTCCGAGCTGGACGGTTGTAATTGAATTCTCCTGTGACCCAGTGGAGTCTTATGCAATATCTGATGTGATCCCTGGTTTGGGGAGGATAAAACCGAGGCTCTGAGAAGGTAATTCCCGATGTCACCCAGCCAGCAAAAAGCATGGCTGAGACTCAGCTCATCTCACAGCTCTGCGTTTTCAGATCCAACATGCTTTGGGGGTTTGTAGAGCTGGTTGGGAAAACTATCCCTTGGTTTCCCCCCTCTTTTATCACAGGAAATTTTAAATGAAAAGGTAAAGCAAATGTTGTCCTGTGCCTTCCCGCTGGTGAAGCACCGAGTGAGTTTGTCCAGGAATGCATGTAGAAGAGAGCAGAGGGTAGAATGGGTTGTAGTGCCCGCAACTGTGCTTGGCACATAATATGTGTTCACACACACACAAACTATTTCCCAAGTGACTGAATAAGGGAAGGGGAATATATCAAAGTAGAAGTGGAAGGATTTCAGTCTGAGATGCAAATGTTTTAGGAAAACCATTTTGTAGACTTAAGCTCACTAAGTTATGATGTCTTTGAACTAGTAATGAAAGGTTTACTACCCCTAGAAGATTATTGGTAAACATATTGGTAAAGTGGGTGCCGCAAAGCCCTGGTCTACATCCCCTTCAGGTTCAGAGCTCTCACTGGGCCCTTACGTGTGATTTGTGCCGCTGTTCTCACTGGGAAAGGCCTTTCACTACATTCATTCGGAAGCTACTACTTTCTTTTTTTTTTTAGTTCCGTGTACACCAAGCTGGCCTTGAATGCTTCATCCTCCTGTCTCCACTTCCTAAGAACCTGAGTTTCCAGCTTGTGCCTCCATAATCATCTAAAAGCTAATACTCTCTCTGGGGCTTTAGAAAAGGTGTTTGTTCCAAAGAGGAGAAAACTGGAGATTTGGAGTCAAAGGTTAGAGGTTGAGTCTCCTTTTTTCGAGATCATCTTCCAGCACACAACTGAATCTCAGCAATCCTGTTTTCCTATCTATAAAAGGGCTAAAAATTTACTTCAAAGGGTAATTTTAAGGATAACGAGCTATGTTGATGATATGTGATGTGGAATGGGAAAAGGGATTGATAAATACAGAATGCTTATTTCAATTCATTTTAAGAGAATGTGTGTGTGTTGTCTTATCAGCGCATCTAGCCTAGCCTTGTCCAGGTGAGAGGGAATGGACAGCTTTGTACTTAGATGTCAGGAGAACTGTGGAGCAGAGCGTGGTAGATAGTGTAGAGAGGTGCCCTGCCTAGACACAGGATAAAACCTCTGCAAGCACCTCTCCAGTCTGGGGTCTGAGCTTTGGGCTTGTCTGCCTCTTCCGTACTGAGATGTGGATGTGTCTACATGGCTCTGGTGGCCATGGGAGGAAGACAGGTCTCCAGTGCAGTAGGACTCTGCTGACTCACTGTGTTCACGACACAACCACCTAGCAGAGTCTGGTGGATTCAAACACTCAGCATTACAAAGTGTTTATTGGATGCCAGATCCTCAAATTTCAGAGTGGGCCTGATACAAATACAGAGAATGATCTTTAAGCGTCAGTGCAGAGAAATTCCCACCACATTGGGGAATGAGCAATTCCCTGGAGAGATTCAAAGGCTGGGTGTGGCTCAGTTGGTAGAGTACTGGCCTGGCATGGATGAAGCCATGGGTCTGGTCCCCAGCACTGCATAAGCCAGGCGCAGTGGTCCACTTTATACTAACGCCCTGGAGGTACAGTCAGGAGGATCAGAAAGTCAAGGCCACTCTCTTGGACTACATGGCATGCATAGAGTAAATCTCTGCTAGAGATACTATCTCAAAAAGTGACAGATGCAGAGAGAGAGAGAGAGAGAGAGAGAGAGAGAGAGAGAGAAGAAGAAGAAGAAGAAGAAGAAGAAGAAGAAGAAGAAGAAGAAGAAGAAGAAGAAGAAGAAGAACAACAACAACAACAACAACAACAACAACAACGAGGAGGAGGAGAGGAGGGGGAGGAGGAGGAGGAAAGGGGGGCTCAAGCACACCTGAATTTCCTGGAACTAAACAAACAGCCATGGGTTCAGAGTTTGTACCTTTGGCAAACAAACCGAGTGCATGCCTCTTTGACCAAACCAAATTCTGCCTCTGTTTACCCAGACCCTTGGGGAAAGGGTGGAAGCACTAGGAGGATCTCTGGGTCATCTTAAAGGAAAGTGACCCTAATTAGGCCCCAGGCTTGACTTGTTTACCAGCTGTGTGGGCGTGGCTAATCAACTCCCCGTTGTCAGAAATAAGGATTTTTTTTACCTTCATCACAACATTTTGTAGGAATTGAACAGGATGAAGGTAAAGATGCTAGTTATAGCTCCAGAGAAATGACAGCTTCTTCCTCTTTCCCAACTGAGTCATCGCCAAGTCAGAGGGCAATGTTCAGCCTGTTAGGAAAGTATAAGCCTAAAGAAAAAGGCCTTCAGGGCCTCCTGCTAGACTTGGACGCGTCTGCTTTCTCCCTTCTCATCCACAGAAAGACTTGTACAAGTGTTGGCCCCTTGGGAAAAAACCAACTCTGTTAATTAAGCCTAACCCCATTCTGTCTGAAGGCTGTAATTACCCTCCCAGGTCGACGTCTTGCCTTGAGACTTGCCCTGGTCCCAGGGGCAGCTTGTAGGAGCTCAACCTCCTGGCGGTAAGGATACAGAAGGGCTGAGATCTTAAAACCTGCCCAGGGAGGAAGACTCTGGTCCCCAGGAAAGCTGTCTTAAACAATTAGCATGAGTTCTGTAACTTCTTTGAGCCTAGAGACAATGCCAAGGACAATACCACAGAGGAAAGCTAAGCCTCTGAGGCATTTCCCCGTATAAAATGCAGCTGCATCAAGGAAGCCTGGAGTCTAACCCAGACTGCCTTCTGTCTCTCCTCCTTCACATTCTAATATACCCTACTGTACTGTGTATGGAAAAATGTAATTCCCAGAGAGTTTTTCTCTTTTGCAGAGTTAATTGTCCCTGGGAAACTTTGTTGGGGTTTTGAGAAAGGAAACAATAAGTCTGAATCCAAACTAAGCCCAAATTAGCAGTTTGAGGTTCCTCTGGGAGACACAGGAGACAGGGTAGAAAGAGGGTAAATCGTGTTGCACCTATCAACTCAAAGATTTGGATCAGTTCATCCTTTGGCCGTCTTTGAATGATCACTTTAGCTATTATCACCTGAAAGGGGAGGCTTTTAAAACCAGAAACCAACATTTCAAGAAACTTCCATTAAGACCTGCAAAACACTGATTCATATTAAAATTTCAACACAAGAATCCACAAACTGCCATCTTAAGCCAATAGCAAAATGGATTGGGGAAAATGTGTATTTGACAACAGTGAAAATATCCTTTAGTTCTTTGCCAACAGGTAAACTTTTATTAGGTAGCAGAAGTGACAAAATTCCTTGTTTACCTTTCTTTGTGTGCACGTATAATGAGGACCCTTAAATCGAAGGTGGAGAAGAACAAGGAATACAGTTACACTGACACAAAGTAGGAAATGGTGTAGCATGAATTGTTAGAAGGTCTTATTAATAATATCAAACCTGGAGCCAGGTATTGGGGTGAATGCTGAAAGATCAGAGAAGCAGAACAAGCCACAGCTTCCTCACCTCACCAGTTCCTCAGCTGATCCTGTTTCCTCAAACTGGAAGCTTCTGAGTTCTCATCCAAATGGGTCTCTGCTGAACTGTGCTGCTCAAAAGCTTAAAAGTTTAACCAGCTCTAGTTCCTGGTTTTCATGTCTTATATACCTTTCTGCTTTCTGCCATCACTTCCTGGGATTAAAGGCATGAGTCACCATGCCTGGCTGTTTTCAGTGTGGCTTTAAACTCACAGAGATCCGAATGGATCTCTGCCTCCCAAGTGATAGGATTAAAGGCCTCTAATCTAGTGGCTGTTCAGTTCTCTGACCCCAGATAAGTTTATTAGGGTGCACAATATTTTGGGGAACACAATATCACCACAAAATGGTAGGATTGGTATCGTGGATGTCTCTGGTGACCTGCCCAGATTTCCTGCCGTCTTGGATCCTGTCCATCCTTCTCTGCTAATGACAACATGGCTTCCTTTTCCAGGAATTGTCCATAGGGGTTTATGTTCTGTATAATTGAAACTGAAGTTGGCCATATAGGAAGTTAAAATCCATGACACCTCTTCTTGGGGATGGGTCAACCCGGCTATGTGACCACATTCCCAGGTTCTTATTAGATCAGGCTGGGGTTAACTTGACCTGAAGTGTTGTATCTTTGCCTCCTCCCTTGCCTGCGCTAACCTGCTTCCCTCCTTCCTTACAGGATTCTTTGGTGGGCACTTTCCCATAAATGCACTCATCCCTGTCTCATGCTCCGCTTCTAGGAAACCTGAACTACTGCAGGAGCATGCCGTTTAGTTGGGCACGCAGCTGAGCGGCAGAGGCAGATTGGTAGTTTTGGTTTGTTGTTGCTTTGAGACAAAGCCCTACCAGACAGTCTTGGCTAACCTGGAACTTGCTATGTTGACCAGGCTGGCCTCAAATACACAGAGATCCACCTACTTCCCTATTGCTGGGGTTAAAGGCCTGCACTACCCCGTGCCCAACCACAAACTAAGTGTTTAAGATGATTATAATTAGGATTTTTTAAAAAGATGCTTTAAGGTGACAAACTATCATTAAATAAATTTTAAAATTTATGCATGTATACATTTTCCCCTGCTGTGTAATGTATTTTTTTGTTTACTTATTTTGTTTTTTGAGACAAGATTTTACTTTGTAGCCTGTGCTTGCTTACAACTCACTATGTAGTCTAGACTAGTCTCAAATCTGTGGGAAGTCCTATCTCAGCCTCCTGAGTGCTGGGATTACAGGCTTCTCCCTCCCATCTATTATATAAGCCTTTAACCCAGTAGTTTATGACAAGGAATTCACTGTACAGATCAATGCTCTACACACACACACACACACACACACACACACACACACACACACACAAAATTATTGTAACACTGTTTATACTAGCAAAAGATGTAAAACAACTTAAATGTCTGTTAATAGGGAATAAACAAATAGCATTCTGGTCATATAAGAGAATACCATGCAGCCATTAGACATAATGAGATGGTAATACATTATGTATGTAACAAACATTAAGTGGCACCCCATAAATACGTGCAATTTTAGTTTTATGTGTGATTTTTAAATGGTTAATTTCCATTAAAAACAAATAAAAATAATGGGCTAGCTGTGTCTTACGTGGAATGACGTTAAGGATGTACTGTTAAAAATGAAGTATTGTGAAATGGATAATTTCTATAACAGATTCCTTAGAATGATAGCCTATAAACTATTAAGTGTTTCTGTGAAAAGGAACAAGGCATCTGAGGTTTTTTGTTGTTTTTTTTTTATAACCTTGTGAACATGCTCATACTTTGTTAATAAAACTGGTTCATTTTTAAAGTATTACATAGTATAGAAACTATATGACATGTAGAAAAGTAAATATCCCTTATAATCCTACTCAATTGCTCCATAACTTGTTGGCTAATGTCAAGAGTGTAATTCTAGGGGCTAGAGAGATGGATCAGGGGTTAAGAACATTGGCTATTCTTCCAGAGGACCCAGGTTCAATTCCCAGCACCCACATGGCAGCTCACAACTGTCTGTAACTCCAGTTCCAGGGGATCTAGCACCCTCACACAGGCATACATGCAGGCAAACACACCAGTCAATGCTCATTAAAAAAAATTTTGAAAAAGAGTATAATTCTACTTTTAGGTATACCACTGCTCACATTTTGGGTTAATTTCCTTGTTGTCTTCTATCTGAAGACAGACTATTTCTCACATATATGCTCACAAGGCACATGCATAGACTTTTATTCCAATTTTTAAACTGTATAGCTCAGGCTGGCCTCAGCCTCCTGAGTGCTGAAATTACAGTGTACACCACCATTCCTGGATTGTATTCTGACTTTTTTTTTTTACTCTTTCACAACTGAGACTTTATTGGTTGAGTACACAGACATTTCAATTCTTAAAACATGTACCCAAACTCTAAGAGTCATACAATGTATTCACGTACCCAGAAGAGCCATGTGTTGTTTCTCTTTGAACTTATTCCAGTGATGTTCCATCCTAAACTTGGCAAGTTTTCCATAAGACTTCACATAACAATCAAATGCTCACAATCCTTAATTCCACTGATTCACAATTTTATGCCACATACAGTACATATTCAAAATTTCAATCTTTCACTGCACATTATCACAATTGTTAGGAAAATGGACTGCCATGACCAGAGACAGTTTGACAGGGCAAGGACCGAGGAGTGGTTTTTTAGGATACAGTTCTACTAGAAACACGAGACCAGAAGTAACTGAAAATATTCCAGACACAAATGCACGACCAAGACTCCAAGTATGCTTTGTGTTGTAGGATATAAAACTAGCCCCCTCTACGGAATGTTTTGGTGACCCCCGAGACAGTCACAGCCTCTCCTGATTCAGTATCCTGCTCTTTTCTGGTTGTACCAAAAAATAAACAGCCAGCAAGTGATTTAACCTCTTAAAAAAATCATTTACACTTCAAAAATGGGATGAGGCGGGACTTCTTCCCACCTTTTAAAAATGTTTCTAGAGCTACTAAAAAACTCGCATTTACAAAATAGTTGATAAAAATATTCCTCTGGATTGTACAAGAAGGGAGGCGGGGACACTGACAGACACGATGGATGGTTAGTCGGACTTGGCTTCTTTCTCTTCAACTTCAGAGGCTGGACTCTGGTTCTCAGCCTCTCCGTTCTCCGCAGGCACGTCTGTGGTCTGCTGGTCAGCCACCTCCGCCTGTTTGCCCTTTGCTCCCCTCTTCCCTTTGGTTTGCACTTTTTTGTCTGATGGTTTATCCTTGCCCGCGGCCTTCTTCGGCTTCGCGTCCACCTTGGCAGGGGCGGGCTTGGCCGACAGCCTCGCGGAGCGCCACTTGGGCTCCGCCTTGGCCGCTCCGTCCGCGCTAACCTTCCTCTTGGGCATCGTGGCGGCCGTATTCTGACTTTTTAACTTGGTATTAGATCCTAAGTATTTTCTCACATCAACGAATTTATTCTCAGAGTATCAATTAGAACAACCGTTTCATTTGCTACTGTATAAACATATAATGTATTTGGTCACTGTCCTGTTTTTAACCATTGAAGTTATGTTCTGTATTTTGCTATCATATAGTACTGTTAGTTGTAAATAACTTTGTATGTGTGTCTCTCATTCTCCCCTTAAAATAGAAGTAAAATCACTGGTCAAAGAAAACAAATAGTTTTAAAAACTTACATATTATTAATAGCTTACTCCATAGTTACAATCCCAACAGCAGAAGAAATGAGTGTTAAGGAGTCCTCACTGATACTGAGTACAACTGACTGCTGCCCTTTGGGGACCTATCATTTCCAAGTTTCCACTGCTTTGAAGTTACACAGAAGGCGTGTATTCAGCAACTGATTGCAGTGGGACTAGGGAGCTGTCAAGACTAGTTTGAGGAGGTTTACTAGCACCTTGTGACTATAGCTAGGAGCCTGGATACTGCAGTCAGGGCAGGGGCTTGGAGCAGGGCTTTGCTGGTTTCCTCCCACAGCCACAGCGTAGCTGCCTTTCAGCACCACCTCCAACTCTCTACACAATTGTAGGCAGCAGCTGTTGTCCACACCCGTCATCATAGTGTTTACACTTCTAGATCAGCTTATGGCTTTGTTTTGTTGTTTTATATCAGTAGTGGTGTTCCAATATAGTGCCAACTGTACTTCTGGGTCAGAGTTTATTTTAAAATGTATTTTAGTCTGTTCCTAGATTTATGAAGGGTCAAATTGGTTACTTATTTCTTGAGCTCACAATCCCTGTGCTTCTGTCTCCCTAGTGTTGGGATCACAGGCATGCACCACCAGGCCCAGCATCTGTTATTGATTTTCTTGAGGAAGTTATGTGTAATGACCTCTGGTCATTTGTCATTTCCAGATTCTAGAGAGGGATGTCTGGAGTTTTCCGTTGTGCCATGGGAAATCAATAGGACTCGAGTGCTTTTTCCACACCGAGTGTCTGTCCAACAGTGAGCTGGTGACTCTTGTGTCTGTTTCTTACTTATGATCTAGGTGCATTTGGGACTTCTACGGGCAGACTTTGAACTAATTTAGTAAGTGTATAGTCTTTGAATCTGTAGGTTCTGGGTTCTAGTGCTGGCTAGCCCTAACTAGTTGATGGTCTTCAGGCAGCTCATTCCTCTCCTCTCAAGGTTCTTATCTTTAAAGGAGAAGTGGGCCTGGGATCCTAGAACCGCAGAGTCCTGTGACATAGGAATGAATGTTCCCAAGCTCACAAGGTTTTGGAAACCTTAATGTAAATATGACTTGTCCTTCTCTGGGTCCAACAGGATGATAAAGGAGGCTGTAACAGAGCAAGTACCTTCACAAACCTATGAGGTAGGTTCTGCTGCTGGCGCTCTTCCACCGATGTCGAAACTGAGGCCTAGTGAGGGACATGATTTGTTCAAGGTTGGATAGCTAGTGAGTGGTGTAGAGAAGATGAAACCTTAGATAAGCTGATTCCAAAGTCAACAGCCATACTGCCTACTGCTAATCCCAATTATGCCACAGTAATCACGTTCTGACTGGTGGAGCGTGCTCTTAATGAAAATAAGAAAATGAAATGTTATAAACTAATAATGAAATATAATTTATTTGGTAAACATTTTCCAAAACTCCCACTATATAAAAAAGAAAACATCTTCAGGGATTATAAAAAGAAAGGAAATGTTGGACCTGGTTGAGTCAGAAGATACCTAAATACCTGCCTCACTCTACTGTTCTGTGAGACTGAGGAGGAGATATGGACATTTAGGAGGAAAAATAACTCCCATGAAACACCGTGCTGGGTGGTACATGTATATTCCCAGAATAACCAAAACACTCTTTCTTTGTTAAATGGTACAAACAAGTTTAGGTTCAAAAACCAATAATAAAATTTGATTCAGTGGACTTGGCTAATAATACATTTAAAAGTCAAAAGCAAGAAGGCCTTAACAAAACAATTTCATGGTTGATCTTTAGTACATCAGTTTTAAGCTGGCAAATAGTCACATAGATATTACGTAATGCCCATCACAACATCTGAACTGCTTCAGGAACATTCTCTTCATTCCTTGTAGTATGATTGGTGACCAGGATAAATATGGCTAATGAGGAATATTTAATAGCAAGAAAGAAAACTTAAGGGCAAGGCCTGTGTTGTTTACCCAGCAGCCATTTCTAGCACAGTGCTGGCATGTGGTGGGAGTTCGGTAAACATTTTTTTGAATGGATGAAAAATTCACCAAGGTGCTACTGACTCTGGAAAAATCTCCATTCAGCTCTCCCCATCTGCAAGGTAACTTAATGTAATATCAATGGTGCAAATTCATGTTAAGTAACCACATGTGGTAGGCCAACTTAATTGTCGTTAAGGCAAGACTTGTTTAAAAGTCTGTGTCTGGGGGAACAATACAATCCTGTTACTGAATTCCAGTCTTACCTTATGTTTTCATCAGCTCTGTTGACTCCCAGCCTGCTCAGAGTTTGTATTCTATGTTGCGCGTGTATGACTTAATTTTTTTTCTTTGTCCTGATATTTCAATGAAATAGAAAGGCCCAGATTTTAAAATGGGTCATGAATGAATGTTTCTGAACTGTGTTTTAATCCAGAGGAAGGCAGATGACTTCTAATAACCCTGACTGAATTTAGCATTGACAATAGCCCTGCCTTCCCCATTGTGCAACCAGGGATGTGGTTTGCTGAGCAGGCCTATGCGAAGAAGGTCAAAACTGCATTGTGCGTTGTATGCGTGAGTCATATCCCTTGCTTCTTGCTCAAGAAGAATTGGATCTTAAACAAATGGTGGAACATACTGCTAGGGCCTTTGAGATGAATGAGATGCAATTCCAGCTACCATGTGACGTGGGGGACAGCTAAATTAAAAGGAAAAGGAAAAAAAAATGCTTGCAAATAACTATGATTAAAAGAAGAAAGTGATCAGAGCACTCAGTTCCTAACAGAGGGAAAAATTAGTTGTAGTTAGAGTATGATGTAGTCACCCAAAAGGTGGGCATGGTGGAAACATCTAGACACCCAGGACTTTGGAGGTGAAGGCAGGAGGATCCAGAGTTCAAGGTTATCCCTGGGCTGTCTAGCAAGTTGAGTGAGCCTGGGCAGATTAGGATTCCCACTTTCTCTAAACACTTGCTAAGTTCTGCCTCCTGTGAGACTCTGCCTGGCATTGGGGATTCAGAGATGAAAGTGGCACATCTGTGTTCAGGGACAAGCAACCTAGTCGAGAAAGAGAAACTCCGTTTTTAAAAAGAAAAGGCTCAATATACCCCTGCAAATCTGCTTTAGATTGAAGAAGAAAACATTCCTGGAGCCAGAGGGCAGAGCAGCTGGTGGTGCCTGGGGACTCTCTGAGGATTTCTCAAAAGGAGAGTAAATAAAATTTGAAAGAGAGCTGACATTTGGCCGCCCATAGCTAAGCAGGCCTGTGTAGGGCCCCATATTTACGCTGTCTACTTGCATCATATAATAATCCCATGGGAGGCTTACGGTTTTTTTTTCTTAGTTTACTGATGGGAAAACAGCTCATGAGTTTGATAACTTGAAAACTGCCCAAAGCATGGGCTAGTAAGCAAACGAGAAACGGGAACTGAACTCCAGTTTCTGTTGATGTCCTAGAGTTGCCCAAGGGGAAAAAGAAGAAAGCTCCAAGAATGGAGTTTGGAGGCTTGGGGATACAGCTGACTGCTCTAGCTCTTGCTTAGAACCAGGTTTGATCTCCAGGAAGAAGATAAAGTGAAGGAGGGATGGAGAGAGGGATGGAAGGGAAGAGAAGAGAGGAGGGAGGGAGAGAAGGAGGGAGAAGAGGGCAGGCATGAGTCTGATAGTTTAATCATAGACTAGGAATCAGGTAGGCCAAGCTGTGGTGCTATGGTTTAGATAGGATTTTTATGTTCCTGCAAAGGGTCCTGTACTGGAGGCTTGATTTCCACAGTGGCTCATGTGGGAGGCAGTTGAACTTCTAAGTATTGAGGGTTGAGTGTTTCTTCAACGGCTGGTCCTTCTGCAGCTTATTGAATTTTCAGTAGAGTTGTAACAGGAGGAGCAGCTCTGGCTCCTCCTATTCTGTGTTCTTGAGTCCAGGCACGGTCCCTTGCCATCCCCAGCACACACTGCCACACACTACTGCACTATGAAGTGATGCAGAGTGGCTGCCCCAGCCTCTTTAACTATACCCTAAATAAACCTCTCTGTGAGGACCTCATTTCAAGTATTCATTATAGTGATGAAAAGCTGGTTAATATGCAGAATAGATTTTCTAGCTTGTAGATTACCTATCAGTTCAGAATACAGTGGGATAATTGTGTGTGTGTGTGTGTGTACCATGTATATATGTATATATTATACACAGACACGAATTTTTATGTTGGATATATATGTATGTATGTATATGTATATATATATATATATATATATATATATATATATCATTATATACCAATGTCCTCTAGGAGGAAGGATTCTCAAAGCACTTTTAATTTGCATTTCCCTAATGGCTAATGATATGGAACACTTTTCTGTGAAGGATGGTATAGGATTTTGATTGGGATTGCATTGGATATGTAAATGAATGGCTTTTGGAAGGATGGTCATTTTCACAATATTAATTCTGCCAATCTATCTTTCCATCTTCTAGTATCTTCCTTAACTTCTTTCTTCAGAGTGTTCATTATGGATTCTTACCTCTCTGGCTTCACGTACTGTGAATTTTTAGGCTCGCTGGTAGTTACTTTATCATATGGGTGCACTGTAATTTGTTTTTGCTGTTCCTTATCATTATATAGTTTTCCTTTAGAATTCTATATAATAATAAATATCGTATTAATCCTAATGTAAAAGAACATAAGATCACCATCTAAAAAAAAAAAAAAAAAGATCACCATCTAAGCTATAATACTGCAACCATTCTT